GAGAGAGAGAGAGAGAGAGAGAGAGAGAGAGAGAGAGAAGGAGAGAAACATTAATTTATGTTCCACCTATTTATGCATTCATTGGCTGACTACTGCAAGTGTCCCAACCAGGGGTCGAACCTGAAACCTTGGTGCATTGGGATGATGCTCCAACCAAATGAGCTACCCCAACTGGGCTGGCCCTCTATTTTTAGTATATCATATACAGGGTGTCCCCCCAAAAATGTATACACACTTTGAATAATTATAAAGGCAGTGTTTATTAAAATACATTTAATTTTCAAAATGTAATAAAATCTACAGACATTGTATATATATATATATTTTTGGACACCCTGTATATATAATACCTCAACTCTAAAGTGAATCTGAGTGCTGGCCGGTTTGGATCAGCGGTTATAGAGCACTAGCCCTTGGATCAAAGGGTCTTGGGCTCGATTCCCAGTCAAGTGCACCATTTTTATAAAATACATAAACAAACAAACAAGCAAACAATAAAGTGAATCTGAACAGCCTCTTTTGGTTGAAGATGAGACAGTTCTGATTCAAAACCTATGAAAGATAAATGTAAATTAATTGAGAATCAAATCAGCAGGAAGAGAACTACAGAATTTGCATTAGTTGCCAAAGCAGCAGAAGTTAAGAGGAAAAAATATAGCTGATCCACAGATAAGCCTTTAGAATCCTACAGGCAACAGGGCTATTTCATTATATAAGCTTACTCAGGCTGATTCAAAGCTTGCACTGGTCACTAGAGTTAGGGAGTTTAATTCTAATGGCAAGACAACTGGCAGTAATGTTGAGTGGAAAAAAAGTTACAAGCTAGTTCTTTCTAGAATACATAAACCAAATAAGCACAAAACAAGCCTTTAAAAAGAATACCTTTTCTTAATAAGAAACCTGTCTAGATTCTTAAAAAAATTTCTACTTTACAGCCTTTGTACTGGCTGTTGCCTTGGTGAGAAGACTCTTCCCCAGGTATCTGTATAGTTAATCACCTCACCTTTACTCCAATGCTATTTTCTCAAGAAGGCCTATTTTGAGCTCCTACTTAAGATTACATTGTTCCCCCATCCTACCCACAGACACACTCCCACCATTTTCCTTTACCCTGGCTCTACTTTTCCTTTTATCCATAGCACAGAACACTATCTACTCTACTATAAAAAGTACTGTGTTTCTCATTTACTGTCATGTCTAAAATGTAAGCTTCACCAGGAAGGAACCTGTTTTGTTCACTGGAGAATCCCAACATAGGGTGTGACCCATGGTAAGCACTTAATAAAAATTTGTTGAATGAATGAGAACAGCAGGGCTCTTAAATACACTGAGCTAATATGAGTTAATATTTAAATAGACATAGGTTGCCCTGGCCGAGTAATTCAGTTGGTTAGAATGTTGTCCCTATATGCCAAGGCTGCAGGTTCAATCCACGGTGAAGACACATATAAGAATCAGCCAACGAATGCATAAATAAATGGAACAAAAAAATCGGTTTCTCTCTCTCCCTTCCTCTCTCTCTCAAATCAATAAATAAGATTAAATAAACAGACATAGGTTCTAGAGTTAGGTGAGGAAACAACTATACACTCTGACCTACAGAACACAAATACATTCCTGTAAAGCTGGTAACTTACTAGGCATTTCTGGGTCTCTGAAGTCACTTGTTTAGTGCTGTTGATAATACAAAGTAACTTTGTATTAGAAGACTTACTGGGAGGATGGAAAGGGAAAACAAGAATTTTCAATGCAGTTCTTGGCCTAGCCAGATTTGAGTCAAATGACTGTGTGGTAGTTAGCTTCCAAAATGGTCCCCCGTTATTGCTGCCTCCAGGTATCCACACTTTTTTTAAAAAAATATATTTTTATTGATTTCAGAGAGAGGAAGGGAGAGGGAGAGAGAGACAGAAACATCAATGATGAGAGTGTGGTCGTTAATCCACTGTCTCCTGCACGCCCCCAACTGGGGATCAAGCCTGCAACCTGGGCATGTGCCCTGACAGGGAATAGAACTGCGATCTCCTGGATCACAGGTTGATGCTCAACTACTGAGCCACTCTGGCAGGGCTATCTAGTTATTTTCAAACTACTTAAACAGTATTTGGAAGCATTAGCCACTATTACTCACTTGCTAAATCCTGAGTTCAGAATTTTTTCTTTCCGAGATGAGTATAAAAGCACCTAAAAGTCAAAGAAAATGTTCTTCCTGTGATAAGGAAAAATAAAAAGAACATTATATTAAGGATACAGCCCTCACTTGTGCTATATGCATTCTTGTGCAAAATTACTCAAATGAATCAAGCTTTTCTAAAACAAAAACATCACTAACAAAAACTATTCAGATGGAACAATCAGAAAAAAGTTACTGTCTACCTGCACTGGCATTAATTTGATAAAGATGTCAAAATTCTTGGAGCGGTGGTTCTCAAACTTTTACGGAACACTGTCCCCTTTGATGATGATGCTATGGACCCTCTTCTCCCCACAAAAGACCTTTGCTTTAGTACAGATGACTACTAATCCCCTCTGTAAGGCAGGGAGAAAGAATGTTCTTCTTGTCCTCTGCCCAGTTATCTTCTTTCTTCTCCTAGATGAAATGGAAAAAAAAACTACTCTTGACAAAAGCAACAGAAAGATCTTTTATTTAAAAGTCCTTTACCTGTCATTTTCAGCTCTGCTAAAGCCAGGGCCAGCAAAAAGCATACCAGAAACATTTATTTGCATTATGACATGTCATCTGAACTGGACCCAACTAACATGCCAGTTTTAAACAGGCTTCAGCAATTCAGAAACCTAATAACAGGAACCTTTCCCTGAATTTAACTGAAAAACCAACTGAAGGGTTATAAAAATCCAAATTACAAAAAAGAGATACCCCATAATGTTAAACAAGAATCGAATACAAACGCCTGAGTGTTATACTTTGCAACCCCGCCACATTACACGAATTACGTTCTAATAATTCCCAAAACTCTAATTCTCTCTACAAAAAAACAAGTAAAAGTTGAATACTGACTTTACTTCTGTAAACCAACACCGGAGAATTCTACCGAGATGTAGAGTCAGCCGAGATTAATGCGCCATTAGGCAATTATCAGGTCATACAAGGACAAAGCTGTTTACTCAGGCCTTTAAAGTTTGAGAGGTGGGAGTGAGAACGAATGGACGTGAAGGTGGCAAAGGGACGTGCACCATACACACACTCAAGTTAAAATCCTAGGGGCAGCCTATATAAAATCTCAAGGTCAGCGGACCACGGACACAAAATACTCAGAGCCGCAATAGGTCTGGAGGCATGCCGGAGCCTCAGGCAAACCAGTGACCACGAAACGTGACGCGGGGAGTATAAGTAAAAAAAGATATATTCTTCGAAAGATAAATCGAGGGCCGACGGCTGCCAGACATATACCCGCGTGGGCGCAACCATGCCTGGCAGCCAAAGGCATGGTACTGAGGGGCACAGTGGCCGGTAGAGGACCCAGGGGTGATGCGACACACCCGGAAGGCGGGTGCAGCCGCCTTGGGCAACTGGGGAGGAAACCCACGCCCGGCCGATGCCCGCAGGCTCCGTGCGCTCACGTACCCTCGCGGAGTTAGGCTGCGCCATTTCTTGCTTGTGCTCCCATTGCCGGCCTTGGCTTACCTCGCATGAGCCAGCAGAAGCACTAGACCGGCCGAGAGCCGGCCCACCCCGGCCCAAAGGCCGGCTCGCCGCGGAACGCCCTCAGCCCGCCATCTTTGCTCCTTCAGAAGTCAGCCAACCCTGCGGTGGCCGTTTCCACAAGCCTTGGCCTGCTGGGTACTGATTGGATAACAACTTGCGCAGGCGCGCTCTCCTTCGGTTGTAGGTTGGCTGTAATGTACGTCAATCAATAGATCTAGCTGCGTTCTTTCCATCCCTTTTTTTGTCTGATTGGTTCCCAGCGTTGAGGCAATAAAGAAAAATGCTTTTGTAATTCATGTTAGGTAGGGATGTAAAATTATTTCCACGTAGTAGCAGCGTCACTTTGTGATAAAGTAGTTTGGCTAGGCCGCATGACTTTTTTTATTTTTTTTAATATATCTTTATTGATTTCAGAGACAGGAAGGGAGAGGGGGAGAGCGAGATAGAAACGTCAATGATGAGTCATTGATCTGCTGCCTCCTGCACGCCCCCGTCTAGGGATGGAGCCTGCAACACGGAGAATCCAACCGTGATCTCCTGGATCCTGGGTCGATGCTCAGCTGCTGAGCCACCCCTGGCCAGGTTACAATGTTAATTTTTAAAAGTCAATATAATCTTGTGTTATGTTACATTTATGTTCAAATATATAATGCATGGATAGAACAGAAGGGAGCGAGGGAAATAAAATTGGTTCAAGAGATTCTCCTCAAACTGTATTTAATGTAATGATCTTATAATTTTTTTGCAGTCTTATTTTAGTTGCAGACTGGTATAACTATGGACATGGTCAGTAACATTGGGTTCCTCCAAAATTGCCTATATGGTCACTCCATCTATTTTTCATTTTTTCCCAATCCTAAAAGTAGACTCAAAACGAAGCAAAGCTGAAACATCGTGAACGTCATTTTGAATGGATTTTGAGGCAGAGGGATGACAAAAGAAGAGGGTATCATGTTAGAGTCTATATGATCGATTCCAGCTGTTACTGCTTTGAGTCCTGTGGCGTGCCACTAAACCTTAAAATGAGATACTCATACCTTACATAGACTAAGCAGTCACTTAAGCTTGGAGATGTGAAAAGTCATGTAATAGTTGGGTAAAATATGTCACTGAGGTTGCACATGCACGAGGGGGCAGACAACTTAATAATAAACAATGATAGATATCCCATTTTTAGGCCTTTTTTACAGTTAAGGAGGCAGGGAGTCAAGAACAGAACCTGAATCTAACCTGGAGTGAGTGGCAAAAGGCTGACAAAGGTGTGCCCAGAGGCATATAGTGCCAGCCCCTAGATGAATGCAGCAGCTGAGTAGACCTGCATTTGATAGCACAGACAAACCTAACAGAGACACTGTGATTTCAAACTTGAAGAAGGTGACTCAGTTACATAAAATTCCTGTAAAACACATGGACAAAATCAACCAAGTTATATTGTTTTTAACTACAAGAATTTATTACTGATGGATCGGAGAATACAGTTTTAATGGAACAATAAGGCACAACTGTGGATTAAACAGTTAGCTATACAGCCAAAAGGAGGAAAAAGCCATAATCTTAGGAACTTTAAATATGCAAGTCAAGGAGCCTTTGAAGTACCTCTCTAACAGATCAGTGTCAGACAATTCTTCCCTGTTATACGATTCCTATAAACTACATCCCTTGATCACAAAGTCAGACTGATACTTCAAGAATTTCTCAGTCATTTATCCTTGAGTCATCCAGCCTGGACACTCCTGTTCCCCACTCTTCCCAATCCCTTTGCAGTGTTGTTGTTTTTTTAGCAATTCCCTTCCTAAAGTGTTATGTATACATCTTGGATAGCCTTCCAAAGCAAGGAAACAAGCAAGCATGCAATGAGTCAAGCAAAATCAGCCAAGGGCAGTTATAAGGATGAGCAGACATGGATGTTAAGACAGATGTTAGGATGACAATAGCTTGATTCAATAAGGTCTATACTAAGCTGACTTAGGCAGAAAAGTTGCTCTGGCTCGTGCAAAGGCCTGTAATGGCACCTTAGGTTGTACCACCAGTGCCAGATCCCTTGTTTCTAAGGGATTAGCAGTGGTCTGAGAGAGGAGCTAGGAAATAAATGTAAGCAGGCTGCTTATGATACAATACATTCAAAGCTTTAGACCTATATTAGGAGCTGACTATGGCTTCCAGCATTAACATTTGCCAAGTGTAAAATTCATAGAGAATTTTGTGCAAAACTTCAAGACACTGAGGATAATCTTTAAATCTCTTGCACTGGGATAAGTAGGCACTTCTGTAACACTAATCTTTCTATTTGGAAATGTGAAGTGAAAAACATTCCAGGACACATAACACTGGGGCATAAACCATGCTGCAGAAGTGGGAATACATGAGGCTTTTAGGGTGCCAGCCTCCTTGCTCAAAAAGCCATGGGAAAGTCCCCAAGCATATTGTCAGAGCAGCCATTCTGGTGGTGACAGTGTCCCAAAAGTAAGCAAACCTGCTGGCATATGGCTATTTTCTGAAAAGTCAACACTGTACTAACAAGAGTAGCTATGTATGTTTGTATGTTGAGAATCAGAGGCCAGAGGTAGAGTGACTTGGGCAAGTCACCTGAAAGACTTTGCTCTACACCTCTCACCAAGGCCATCGCCTTTCAAGGACAACTCCAACCCACAGCCCTTTGATGGCAAAGCAGAGTGCAGGGAACCAAGAGGCAATCATGTTCTTCTGAGAGAAGTGTTGGTTATTGAAAAGCTCCTGGAGAGGCAACATCTCAGAGACCTATTTAAGAGTAAAGGTGTTCAAAACTGCCAGACCACCGCACTATCCTGCCAAGTCAGAAATACACTGAACAGGCATAGCTTGGGGTGCCAAGTAGAACAGAGGGGATTGAAGCTTAATAGAAAGCGGGAGACTGAAAGACTAAGTGAATGATACTTTACGTAAAAAAGTAGTAGAAAGCAAACGACATATACAAAAGGATGGGAGCACGCCAAAGCCTTGCTGGAGGGAAGGCAGCATGGCTATAGTCTACATCCAATGAAAGAGCTATGCTGGCTGCTTCTTGACATGATTCCCTCTTTGTCAGACAAGATGCACATGTGGCATTCAGCAGCATACGG